GAACCAGTTCCGGACGTCCTAAAAAGACGTCCTTTCGACGTCATATGGACGTTGCCGTGCCCGCTGGGAAATAATATTAGCGTAGGAGAAATGACAATGAACAAGACTAAAGTAAAGCATTTTGCGTGATTTATAATCAAGAAAGGCCCTAGATATTTTCGCTTCAATGAGACTAATATGTTTTTTCCATGATAAGTTCTCACCAAATATTACTTTCAAAGATTTTGAATGATTAAGTTGATTTATTTCATTTTTATTGATTGACAATTTTGGCAACTTTAATGGAAGATTAGCTGATTGTCTTATTTTATGGAAGAGAGTATAACTTGTTTTTTCACAATTTAATGATAACTTTTTAGCTATAAAACCATGTTTAAAACTTTCTAGTTCAGTGTTCATTGTTTCGAACAATATTTTTACATTAGAATTGTTGTAGACTAAATTTGTATCGTCTGCATACATAATTGACGATATTTTATGAGAAGCTTTATTCATATCATTGATATTTATTAAAAATAATAAAGGTCGTAAAATTGGTCCCTGTGGGAATCCGCAAACAATATCAAGAGCTCCTGACTCCTCCAGGACAGCAAACTGTTTTCAATTTAAATCATCATTTAAGTTGACCGCCGCGGTGACTAGACGTAATTTTAACAGAAAAAAAAAAAAAAAAAAATTAAAAAATGGCTATAACTTTATTAGAAATACAAGAAATGTTTATCCTACACAAGAAAGAAATACAATTATTATTTACTAAGGCCCTCCTTAAGGCCTCCCTAAGGCCTTTGATACTGTGGGCCATGATATTCTTCTTTACAAACTTGAAATTTATGGAATCAAAAATAATGATTTTAAATGGTTTTGTTCATATCTAAAAAATCGCAAACAATGCGTATCTTATGACAAAACCTACACTAAATTAGAAAACATTACCTGCGGAGTTCCACAGGGATTTATTTTAGGGCCTTTGTTGTTTATTATTTATATCAACGATATTTACTTATCATCTAATATACTAAACTTTAATCTTTTTGCTGATGACACTCAAGTTTTTTATACTACATTAAGACAATCATTACCACTATGAATAGTGAACTTGATAACCTTAATGAATGGTTTAAAGCCAACAAACTCTCTCTGATCCATACTAAAAGCAAATATACTCTCTTTTCTAAATCCTCTAAATCTGAAACGCTGCCTTTAAAACTCCTGGATATTTTAATAGAAAAAACCAAGTTACAACGGACATACTGCGTTAAATTCTTAGGCATTTTAATCAATGAGCAAATAAATTGAAAAGAGCATATTAATCTAATAGAAAATAAAATTTCAAAAAGTATTGGAATCATGTATAAAACTAGATATATGTTGGATAAAAACTGTTTAAAATCTATTTACTTTTCATTTATTCATAGCTATATTAGTTATTGTAACTTTTATTTTAACAAGTTTTTTTTTTTCCAGAAAAATATGAACAAGATAAATTTACATTGAATATATTACTGGTAGGACTTCCAGAAGATCACATGATCTTATCATGAAGCCCTTTACAATCTATATAACGAATTAAAAGGTAGAAAATTTACAAATATTAAAAATTACATAAGCGTTAGAATATTCTTCAGATGTTAAGCAAGTTTTAACATAATATTTTATAATATGGATATATAACATTCTCAATATTGAACAATATTATAATATAAAGTATTCAGCATATATTGTTTAAATAATATTCATCACACAGTCGACAAAAATATCAAATAACTTGAAATACTAAAAATAAATAAATATATTTTGTGTTGAAAAGATTATTTCTTTTGTTTTCTTTTTAAAGGAGGAATAAGACCATTTAAAAGAAAAATCAAAGTTAGGTAAAACTATTTTATTCCAAAGAAATGGACCACGATAAGAAATACAAAACTGGTCAAATTTTGTTTTGCAAAACGGCTCTTGAATATTTTTACTATCACGAAGTTCATATTTGTTTTTTGGTTTCAAATTATAGAGATTTATAAATACACTTGGAGATAAATTTTCTTTACATTTAAACATAAAACATAAAATATTATTATTTCTATAAGAAGTGGTGTTGAGCTTGAAAAACGATTTCCAAAATTAATTATGCGAGCTGCGTGTTTCTGATGCCGATAGAGAGATTTAAGTTTGGTTTTGTGAGCGCTTTCCCATATAATATTGGCATAGTTTATATGGCAATGAATAAATGAATAATATAGTTGAGTTAGTTGCTTTTTATTTAGTATATATCGAGTATATATAGTATATAACATTGCTTGGGCAAGCACTTATCAGTCAAGACTAACTTGTATCTTAAAAAAACAAAAATAGGCAAGCCGCCTTATATTAAATGTTAATAAATACGCCAGTGCCAATCCACTGCTTCGTAAGCTTGGAGTACTGAATGTTTACCAATTAAATATCTATAATATTCTTTTATTCATGTTTAGATTAAAATATCATATGCTACCTAATATTTTTGAAGACCTTTTCTTTATTATAGATCATAAATATCATACAAAGCATTCATTGCTTAATTATCAGGTACCAAAAACTTTGTTAAAACAATCTGAATTCTCAATAATTTACCGAGGGCCACATTTGTGGAACTCATTTCTCCTAATTAATAGTAAAACTACAGCTTCAATCCAAACTTTTAAAAGTATCTTAAAAAAACATTTACTTGATTATGACGTATCTCAAATATTATTTTATTTCTAATTTTTATTTTATTCTCTCTTATTTTTATTTCGTTAACTTTTCTTTTTGTTTAAAAAGCGGCATCACACTTTATATCATTACTTATCTTTATATTTGTATTGTATTTGGGAAAAAAAAAAAAAAAAAATGTATTTAATATTATTTTACTGAGATTGCAATATATATAAACATGTGTATGTGTATATGTGTATGTGCATGTGTATATATGTATATGTATGTATGTGTACGTGTATGTATGTGTATGTGTGTATAAGTATATATATATATTTTCTTATATGATGGGTAATTTTATTTTTTTTAAATGTTCCACTGAAAAATTGTAAGCAAAAATTTATTTTATTGCTGAAGTTTTGTATGTACTTATACTTTTTTATTTTATCATTTATTATTTACATAAATTTTTAAAAACGTTTGAAAATAACAATGCAACGTGGCTCGGCAATAAGCCTGGTTTGGCTTCTTCTTGCTCCGGTCAGGGTTTTCTATTATTGTAATTTCTTTTTTGTAATTTTTAACAAACGACAAAATAAAAAAAAGAAAAGAATTAACTTCAAAAAAAGAAAAAAAATCAAACGAGATAAATCGTCTCCGAGCAGCCGTGGTGCAGTCTCCGAGCAGCCGTGGCGCAGTGGTTAGAGTTCTGGCTCAGATCCAAGGTTTGACGCCGGATCTAGCCCAATAAGCGACATTGGTAAGGAAGGAGGTATAAACTTCTACTTAAATGCTCTCCCACGATGCTCCGTGATAAGACCGTTAGGATTTCTGGGTCCACCTAAATGACCTAAAAAAAATTATTTAAAGATCTTTCTTCTCATACATATTTGAAGAAAGATCCTTTTATATACAAGGCGACTATTCAAAATATATATTAGCTTTTTATTTTTAATTTACTGTGCTTACTTTAAATGTAAAAATCACATATACCCGATATCTTTTACAATTTGTGAGGTAGACCGGTCCATAATTTATTGTTGTTGTTTTTTTTTGCACGTTGGTCCATAATTTTTTCAAAGATTTGTTACTTTTAGGAAAGTTTTGTTCAATCTTTTTATTGGAAAAGTTTGAAAACACCTTAGATTATCCAAAAATAACATTATTAAAAGTTCGTATTCAGTTTTTAATACATTTAATTATAGTCTTTATACGGCGATGTCACCTGAGCTAATTTTCTTGTTAATAGAGTAAGTTAATTCACCTTTTTATACATACGGGCGTATATAAAAAGGTGATACATAATTTTCGATCATTTTTATTTTTATTTTTACTAAAAAATAATCAAAATTGAAAGTTTAAAGTTGTTGAAACTATAGAATAAAATTCTATAAAAAAAAAAAAATGTTTTTTTTTTCAACAGTTATCTTCTTAAACTATTAATTGGCAATGTGTAATATTACTTACTAATTGTGTAATATTACTTATTAAATGATTTGTAAACTGTAAGCTTTGTACTTACATATTTCAAACAAACTGTTTAAATTTATTTCGTCTTCTCAAAAATATTTTAACTAACGTCAAAATTCCAAATGTGTCCCAATAAACTTTATTTTATTTTTGGAAAAAGGATTGGGAAAAGGATTTTAACATAGTTGTATTATTACTTAAATTTTTATAGTTGTAATAACATAGTTATATTATTTGTATTATTAGTTGTTTAAAAAGCTAGTTTTGACAGCTGTTTTAAGTATTTATTTTATTTCGAGGAACTTTTTTATGATTTCACTTTTCTCAAGAATGAAACTTTATATTTAATAGAAAACTTAAACATTTAAAAACATTTTTATATACTTTTAAGCTTGTTTTATTTTTGTATTAATTATTAGTTATTTATTATTAGTTCTCTTATTAAAACTATGTTTTAATTATAGAAAAAAAACATAAGTAAGTATATATATTTACTTAATGTATTCAATTTTTTTTTAACTTTAATTTTGGCAAATACTCACGTAACTCTGTTCAAAATATATCTGCTCTATTCTGCTCTATTCATGCTCTATTTATACGAACATATATATATATATATCAATATATATATATATATATATATATATATATATCAATATATATATATATATATATATATATATATATATATATATATATATATATATATATATATATATATATATATATATATATATATATATATATATATATATATATATATATATATATATATATATATATATATATATATATATATATATATAAATGTATAATCACTTAAACAACTCAAAGTTCTTATTTTACGGGTTTTATTTTCACAGCTTCCAACCAAGTTATATATTTACGCAAGTGTTCAACTACTCAATTTGTTATCTCCGAAAGTGTTCAACAACTCAATTTGTCATCTCCGAAAGTAAGAAACTTCAATTTGTTATAATCACAACTAGAGCTATATAAAAATGCATTTTCTACTGGTTTTTGTTATTTTTTATGGCGGGTATGTGGAATCTAGTTGGGTACAAGAAATGGAGAGTAAGTATAAATAAAATCGTATAAGTAGAAATATAAATAACTTCTTAATTTTTTTTTTTTTGCAAGATTTAATATTAAACTATTTTTTGAAAATAGATAGCAACTTGTTTCAAGGAGATATTCAATTAGACCTCAATGAAAAAGAAGAATCAAATGGGTATGCAAGCATAGTAGGTGGACGTTGGCCGAACAATATTGTTCCGTATCAAATCAGCAATATAAGTGAGAATATAAGTGTTTTTTATTGAAGGTAAAAGAATTTTTACTTTTATTAAAGTAATTATTCGATTGCTTTGTTAAAGTATAAAACTTTTTTTTAAATTATTAATTTATATATATATATATATATATATATATATATATATATATATATATATATATATACACTGTTAAAAAAATAGCGCTTTTTGTACGGAATAGTTCCGGCAGCTGCCGATGACCAAACTACCCGTTATTTTACGAAAAAACCCATCGTATGTAAACGGAAGTTTCCGTTAACAAACGGGTTTTTTCCGTTAAAAAACAATGGGTTTCTTCCAACAACGGGTAGTTTGTGGTCATTGGCAGCTGTTGGAGCTTTTCCGTAAATAAACGGATACTTCCGTCTAAATTAAATATGTTTTTCCCGTTAAACAACGAACAGGCAACTCAGCTGCCGGATAGTTTCCGTAAATAAAAGTAAAATTTAAATTATTTCTAGAAAATCTTATATATATAAAATCAATGGCTTGTTTTTGAAAATATTTTCTGAAAACAAATTTTCTTTGATTTACATAAAAAATATTAAAATTTCCGTGATTTACATTTAACTTCAACAGCAAATACACAAATAAATAAAAATTAAGTAAAGTAATAAACACTTTCTAAAAGATTATTAACAATTTTAGTAAAGTATATACAAGTAAATAATAATATAATTATATTACATATTCCTATATACATTTACAATATAGATATACGTAAAAACTTATCTTTAAGTAATATATATTTGTTAAATAATAAATATAAATAAATCCAAATACACAAAAGTACAGTCTTTCCTTTTTTTTCCATTTCGAGTCAACTCTGAATCTAAAAAAAAAAACAAAAAAACATAAAGTTTTTGAGTAAAGAAAGCTAATTAAGCTAGCATTAATTAAGTTTTAGTTTGATTGAAAAGGAAAAGAGAAAGAGAGAAAGAATACTTTTACCAGAAAAATGGGTTTTTTTAGTAAGAAATACTTGTCGCAAATTTACTGTTGTGTCAGTAACCGGAGAACTGTTCTTGAACTTTAGTAGCCATTTCTCTGGTTTGTTCAAAAAAAAAATATGTCCACGAAATTATGTAAATGTAGCAGTTTAGCCAGTGGCTTTTTGAGAGAAGATTTTGTTCTTCAAAAATGTGGAGCTTGTCTGTCTTTACTAAATAATGATATTTAACTGAATTCTGGTTCAATACCAGTAAATCGCCCGAAGTACTTACAAGTAAAAGAACATGTAGCTAAATATGTTCCACCAAACTGTATGTGGTTTTATAACATGTTAAAGTGCAAAGGTGCAGAACAAGACGGTTCACTTTCTGAGGATAGCATCACTGACTAAAATTTATTTTTTATCGTGATATAATATTTTAAGTAATGAAATACAGTATGTAATTTAGAAAATTTGCTTGTTTGTTATTTGTCATTTCTGGTATTCTTTTATTGGATTTAAAAAAAAAGAATCATCCACAATAGAACAGCTAAAGCCTAGTTAATACATTTTTAATTAAAAGTGACATAATAAATGATAAATAGAGTACTTATGAAACTTAATTGGTGTATTTTTATTATTTCTAATTTTGTTTTGTCGTATCTTGATAGTAACAAATTTAATTTTATTTCCTTGATGCAAAAACGAGGTAACTCCATGAGTTTATTTCTTTAATATTGTCGTTAGTTTTGATGATACAAAAACAAAGTTTACAATAGACATTTTATACTAAACTACTCAGAACTTGTGTAAAAAACTGACGTGATGGAAACATTGAGGCGATTCTTGAATACATTAGTTATTTTTTTATTAATTAATTAATTATAAATAATTAATTGTTAATGTCAAAACTGTCAAAAGTCAAACAAACAAAAAATCATAAATTTTGTGATGTCTATTTTAGTTTATTGCTTTAGTTTAGTTTACTTTAGCTTTAGTTATATATATAATAAATTTTTAAATGCCTAATATAACATCACCCCTTGATGGTATTTTTCGAGCTCTACAAAAGTAATAACTTCAAATATTTACAGTGTGTAACATAAAAATTTGTGCAACATTTTAACGTAACAGTTCTTTATGGCATATAATACAATTCGTAAGTAGTTTTATATTTAACTTTATTAATTTTTATTTTAGTACTATTAATTAAATTTTCGCTTTTCTCAATATTTATACAATTTATATTTAGCCATAATATTTATATTTAGACATAAACGACCATCAAAGTATTATGAATGCTATAGATGATTACCATAAATTCACGTGTGTAAAGTTTGTCAAAAGAAGCAGCGAAAATACTTACCTAAATTTCTTTGTTGGAGAAGGGTAATTAATAAAAGTTTTAATTTCAAATTTTTATAAATATTGTTATTTATCAACCTTTAAACTTTAATAACACCTAAAACAAAAATGTTTGTGCATCAAACGTTGTACTATCAGTGCTAGAGTTGTCTCAGTTAGTCAATCTATAATTAGAGTTGTCTCAGTTAGTCAATCAATAATTGTTTGCTGCTCAAGAGTGGATAACTTTATTTACAGCAGTTCTATTTTCTTCGTTTTATTAATACTTATAGTTGTTTAAATAAAGAAGTTTTACTTTAAATTCTTTTATTTTTGATGCTTTTTTAAACAGAAGAAGTAAAATAAATTTTGATTGTTAATATCTCGAAAAAACATAAATAATTGACTTACAAAAGAGTTTACATTTTCAAAATTAAAGTAAAGTAATAGAATTTTTGTAACCAATTAACTTAGTTTAACCCCGGGTATTCGAAAGCTTTTGACGACAAAAATGTTTTAATATGTTTGATATATTGACCTCTTGATTCTCGGAAGAAAACGTTTGCACACCCTGTGTCTCTTGCAAAAAAAAAAAATAAAAAATAAAAATAAAAAAAATATATATATATTTTTTGAAACGAGACACAAAGTATTTTACTTTACCACTGATACCATCTGTAGCGATAGAGATTCTCCACGATTTTGTCCTTTAATCAGAAACAATATTAGCAGTTTTTTGGGTATACCCAGACGGGATACATATTGCACTACTTGGACAGTATCCTTAAAATCCCATAACTCATCACACGCTAAAGAAAATATAAACGACAGTTTTGTATCAGAAAACTGTTTTAATGCCCCCCTCCCCCGACAAGAAATTTTTATGTAGGCCATATATATAGCATTTGCATGCTAACCATATGCTTACCACTCTCCTTTATGGGATGATGTTGATGCGTCCAATATGTGGCTATAATGTTTATCCCACTAAAATTACACTAAATAAGAAAGAACACCTTGCTTCATTTGTGCGTGAAAGGTTCATGTGGCCACGTGTGGGAAGTACATAATAGCTATATATTTACCACTCTCCTTTATAGGAGGGCGTTGGTGTGTTTCATATGTGGCAATTACTTGAATAGGTTTTAAGAAAAAAGTATGTTTTTTCTTAAAACATACTTTTTTCTTAAATTTGCGCTACTTTAAAATATAACGTTGTTTAAGTATAACTATAAATTTGTATTCGTTAAATAACTCTGATTTACAAATTTTATGGAAAGTTTATTTAGAACAACAATTCTCTAATATATTCATTACAAAACCGCTCAAACATTTTTTTATTTTATTTTATTTTTTACAAAATTATAAACATTTACAGATTTTTATAATATATCTTGTATAGGGGAGAACTTGCAACCTTGATCCGTAAGCACCTTTGATCCTATAGCGTTATCTCCATACTAACATAACTTATTAAAAAGGGCTGATAACCAGTGTGTTATAAATATTGTATTTTCAAAATTGATTGTGTTTTGGTTAGAGAATAGACTACTTTTAAATTTATTTTGTAACTAAACTATTCACCTCTTGTTTGGTTACTTATGGTAAGCTATAGAAGCATCTAATATGACAAAAAAAGAATTTTTGTAAAAATGGAACGGGTCAGCACCCTTGATCCTAATGCACCTTTGATCCTATGATCAAAGGTGCACACACACACACACAAAATGTTTAACTTTTAAAATAACATGTACAATACGTCATACTGTTTTTAAATATATTTTTTTCTTTTAAAATACAGAGATTTTTTAATCTATTTTGTAATTTTTTTGTTCTCCAAAAACTTTTATATAATATAATTGTAAAGTATTCAATATATATATATATATATATATATATATATATATATATATATATATATATATATATATATATATATATATATATATATATATATATATATATATATATATATATATATATATATATATATATATATATATATATATATATATATATATATATATATATATATATATATATATATATATATATATATATATATATATATATATATATATCTGTGTGTGTTTGTTAATAAAGAAGATTTTAGTAAGTAAAAATCTTCATAAATGTTTATCCAAATTTGCAACGACTCTTTCTAAGCGCATTTCTAAATCGTGGAAAAGTTCACAAATTGCTGTGAAACAGTGGCTTCGTAGTTTTATGTTACGTAGGAATGAGTTATTTTTACGAAATCCAGAAGCTACTAGTATGGTACGAGCAACTGCTTTTAATTGTTATACAGTCGAAGAATTTTTTACTAACCTAAAAGATTTTCGTCTACGACACAAGTTTCAGCCACAGAACATATATAATGTTGATGAGACAGGTCTCACATTGTTTAAAAACCAGTTAAAGTAATTGCTAAAAAAGGAGATAAACAAGTTGGAAGGATAACTTCAGCAGAAAGAGGGACATTGGTAACACTTTGTTGTGCAGTTAATGCAATAGGAAACTCAACCCCTCTATTTTTTATTTTTCCAAGAGTTCATTTCAAAGGAAGTATGATAAATGGTGGTCCACCTGGATGTTTAAGGTTGCAAACCCACCTGGTTGGATGAATGTTGCAACATTTTTAGAGTAGATGATGCATTTTATTCAAAATGTGAAATGTTTACCAGCTAATCCAGTGCTTTTACTTCTTGACAACCACGAGAGCCATGTTTCAATTGAGTGTTTAGATTTAGCTAAAAAAGTTGCAACCATTAGATCGGTCAGTTAATTGGCCACTGAAATGTTATTACAATGTAGCTTGTGATGATTGGGTTGTATCTAATCCCAGACCGATGACCATATATGATAAGGCTTCAGTTGTAAGGAAAGCCTACGCTCAAGCTTTTACATTGTCTAACATTTCTGCAGAATTTTCTGTGGCAGGAATCAAACACTTTAATCCTAATATATTTTCTGATAATCATTTCCAACAGCTGGATCAAGAAAATCCATTAAAGGACGTAAATGTCAGCGTACTTGAATACTCTCACAGAATCCTGTTCGAAATGAGTAAAATAAGCTTCAGGAAATAAAAAAAAATCAAAAAAGTCAAAAAAGAAAAAACTTAAAACGCAAAATATGATCTTCATGACAAGGAAAAGAAAACTTGATCTTAAAAGTAATGAAAATAAAAACGTTGAGTCTCAGTAAAAAATAACATTTTTTTCTTTGATTTTTTCTTTTTTTAAGAAAGATAAATTTGTAGTAAAATTAATAATAACTTTTTTGTTTTTATTATACACATTGTTTTGATGACTTAAAAATTATTCTTATACATTTATGGTATAAATTTGATCTCGAATCAAGTATACATACATAGGATCAAGGGTGCGTATAGGTAGGATCAAGGGAGCATACTGGTATGATCCCATGATCTCAATTGAGCGTTCTTAGTTTTTATAATTTTAAATCTACTTAAAATATTCTGGTAAAAAAAAAAAGATTATTGAATTATAATAAGGTATAAAATTTGCTGTTATGTACTGTTATTTTAGAGATCAAAATAAAAATATATATTCAGTAAGTTGACCTGATAGTTTTTTAGGATCATGGGTGCATACTCCCCCCCCCCCCCCCCCTAGTTATATACAAGCAGGGCCGTACCGAACGACAATATTCCGACAAAAACCGACAGAATTTTGTAAATCTGGGGGAGGGGGGATATCGACTCTATACACACCCCCGCTGGTACGGCCTTGTATATAAGTAATATAGTTTAAATAATATTCTTTTAACAATATGCCGTTATATAATCTAAACCACACATAAAATCACATAAAAAATAAAAAATAGTATGACAAAATATAAAAAATAATATGACAAGTTTGCAAAAAAAGAATGTGTTCGACACTTACTGATCAAATTTATGCTAATGAGTTTATCTAACAACTGAATTGTATTATGCAATTATCTAGACTCATTATGATAACTGGCTATGAAATAATATTAAAAAAAATTGAACTCAAAACAGCTATACCTACCGAATGACCGGAATTGAAAGTTTTTGAAAAGGACTGGGTTAGGTTTTTGAAAGTTTTTGAAAAGGACTGGGTTAGGTTTTTGAAAGTTTTTGAAAAGGACTGGGTTAGGTTTTTGAAAGTTTTTGAAAAGGACTGGGTTAGGTTTTTGAAAGTTTTTGAAAAGGACTGGGTTAGGTTTTTAAAAGTTTTTGAAAAGGACTGGGCAATAAATCGTAAAAATAAAAAAGCATGAGCAGAAACATCAAATGTTTAAAAGTTTCCTGGAAATAAGTTCTTATATTTATTTTTCAACTTATAAAAAACAAATTAGAGATTTGGTGGTGGTAGTTGAGAATAATGCGTACCTACATTTTTTCCCTCAGCGCATGATTCCAACTGTGTGTACACATTTGGAATGAACCGTATCCATAAACCAATTTTTTTTACCCCAACTACTAAAATTAAAGTTTTTTAAAAAAATAAAAACTTTTCAATGTTTAAACTTTTAAATTAACAAACCTAATTTAATAAAAGTTTAAACATTAACTATTGATTATCTCTGAATTTAAAATTACATTTCTGTCATTTATGCAACCTTATTTACAAAAGCTTATGCTGTCTTTGCTTTGTTTATTGTCATTGCATTTTTTAACTTATTCGTGATTCAGTTTAATGTATATGTCTAACTTCATGTCATGATAATCTAATATAATATTATATTTTTAAAAATTATATTTTACAGTTGCTCCTCTCCGGTTGGTTATAAAGATGGAAGAGTTAATAATGTTTCGTTAGCTAACGGTTGCCTAGGACATGGAACCATACTTCATGAGATTGGACACAGTATTGGTATATAAATATGTATAATAAAACAAGAATAATAATATTAATAATTTAAAGACACGTGCATACAGTGGCGACAATATTAATGGTACACTTTCATGACCAGTTGGTTTTTCTTTTTGATACCAATTTATTAAGTTTTTTTATTTTAAATTGCAAACATCTAATTTTTTTTTAAAATAAATTCTTTTAATATTATATCAAAAGAAAACCATAATATTTAGTTTTTTGAATCCTGTAATTCATTGAGTAAAATTCTATTAACTACAGGACATTGTAAACATGAGATGTAAACATGAGATAAACATTAAATATCTTCCAACGAAAAGCACAGGCTTTTTAAGATAAAAGAATAAAATAGCTCAAATATTGAGTTGCTCTCAATCCTATTACTTTATTTAACAATACTAGTTCATTAAGCATCGTCATCATGAAAATCATTATTAAGAAACGCAAGTCTTGATACAAACAATGACAACGTCTTCTCTTATCAGAATATCAAAATCAGGTACGAAAATACGTTGTCATTTTTTTGTATCGATGAATCCTTTTGCTGGTGCACGAAAGTTTAAAAAACAAATTGCAAAAAATTCAAAACTCAGTCCGTCTGAAAGCACTTTCAAAAGTCACTTACGTGAAATTAAGCAATTTGAAAGGGTTGTCTGACAAAAAATTATTGGTCTCAAAACGTAATCATGTTAGTCCTTTGAAGTTTGCAAAACAATGCGTTCACAGGTGCTTACGTTTTTGAGAGAATGTGCTTTGGACTGACGAATCAAAATTTAATAGCTTAGAATCCGACGGAAAATAAAATGCTAGTTGTCCTCAAAACTAAAAACTTTGTCTTCTGTATACCCTGTAAACCGTAAAATATGGTGGTGACAATGTAATTGCTTGCGGCAGTTTTTCGTAGGTCCTTTGCATAGAATTCAAGAGAGAATTAATAAACATAGGTACAAAGAAATACTAGAAAATTTTATTTTATCATAAGCCAAGGAAAATCTTTATTAGGAAAATTTCAACTAAACAACGACCCCAAGCACACCACCAAAAATGTTAAAGTGTGGTTAAACGCTAAAAGACTGATGTTTTGAGGTGGCCCGCACAGTCAAGTTGACAGAAGTATAAATTTGGCAACCGCAACAAATTCAGACCGAATTCGATTGAAGTAAATGCTGCTTGGGACGCCATTACGCCTCAACAATGCCAAATTGATCTTGTCAATAGGCCAATGTTGTCAAGCAGTTATTGAATTACAAGGATAACCCACTAAATATTAATTTACCTCAATTAAACTTGTTTTAACTATTTATACAAAGAACTTTTTTTTGTTGGGAAAGGACAAAATGATAATATTGTATAAGGTGTGCTATTTTAATTGCTTCCTTGTCCTTTTCGTCCTTGTCCTGTACCAATCATTTTTATGATCTTACTTTTTTTAAACTAATTTACTAAATTTCTATTTAGTGTTTATATCTTCTAAAACTAATATTTTTTAGGATAAAAAATTTAGATCTCAAAAACTCAGATCTTTGAAAAACATATCATTAGACATTGTAAGGTTGTCCGAAGTAACGTTTAATACAAGAGTACTCCATTCTAACCACTGATAGCATAAACAAAACATTTGTAACTACAACTATCGAATATAATCTCGGCGTTCTTGTCTCCAATGAGCTGAAAGTCAGAGCACATGTTGAAAAAGCAGCTTTCACAGCCAATCACAAATTAGAAATGCTTAAAAATGCTTTCTGCTGCTGAAGCTTAACTTTGTGGCGTACACCCTTTATAATATATTTCCAGCTATACCTTAAACTAGTAACTCAAGCCATTACCGTAACATGATATAGATATTAATTTACTCGAGAATGTTCAAGACTTCACCAAGGCAATATCATCTATTAGTCATATGGATAAAAAAAACAACGTCTGAAGACACTTGGAGTTACCTCCTTAAAAAAGTTTGCGCAGCCACGACAAAGAATTCAAACATCAGTTTTTACGATGATGCGATCTAACTATATTACGAAAAAGCTGCAGTAAATTGGATTTCTCTCACACAACATGCAGTAGATGCTCGACATTAAATGCATCAAACCTTGGAAGAGTCTCTTCATAAAATAATAAATCAATATTTATGTATATTATTTTTTGATATTAACCAGATATGTAGTTAAAACAGTAAAGGCCAAGACTAAAACTAAGAACATAACACTTGGGCTTTAGACCAACACCAAGGCTAAAGTTTTTAAGACCAATACCAAGACGAAAACATCAAAGTGTCAACTGAAGAACTAGACAAAGACTTTGAAAGTTTTAAGAAGATCAAGATCAAGACTTACAATAATGTTCACACGTGTATGTTTACTTTTAGGCATTAGTTGATGTATTAAAATGCTCTCTGTTGCAGAAGCTAATAAATGACTATTTACACATTACTTTATTATAAAACGTAATAAAACGTGTGTAACATAATTATGCCATTGTATATGTAGTGCACTGATGCAGTAAACAAAAGATTTCTTTAATAATTATGGAAAACTAACTTGTATTGTAATAAACAAAATGTATTGAAATTAAATAGTGCAAGACCATCTCACAATAAGAATGCTGAGAATAGCACATATAAACACATATAGCAGACAAGCTAGGATAGTGGCTAACACTGGCGCGAAGGGGAAAGTTGTGTGGGTTTGACACCCCCCATTCAATGAAATTTTATAGCATTATTCAGCATATTGGAACATTTTTTTGAATCATCAATCGGCACTGTTGGAACCTTGTTTTGGACTTAGTTGACATAAAGGAACGTAGACGAATTATCTTAAGTCGGCATTTTGAGGATAAATTTTGTGGATTTTTTTTTACTATTATTTTGTTCATAGTAGGCATAGTCTTCATAGTATTTTGTAATGATACCCACCTCCCCCCCTCCCCCCCCCCTCCCACACACACATACTACACACAAACACACACACAAATGACGCCTGCTTATATCGGCCCTGCCAGTACCCAGAAAAAAAAATAAAGAAACAAAGATTTTTATATATATATTCTATTTAAGTCCTCTCAAATCCTTAATAAATGGGGAAGGGAGGGGGGTGAGGGAGGGAACGTTAAATAATTTTTGAAAAATTTTCCCACCCAGTCTAAGCTTATAAGGATTCCCTTCCCCCAACGCCCCTCCGCTTCCTTCCGTTTAAATAGTTTTATGCGTGTTTTGTAAAAAATATTAGCTTCGATTTATAAACTGAAATTTTGTAAATAATTTCATAAAAATGTTTCCTAACTAACCCCTCCCCTCCCCTCCCATCCCTCTTCCTTCGCTAGATCTGGACTAAATACCCTGCTACCCCTTCCCCAGACCTTGTATTAAGGAATCAAGAGTACTTTATATACTTAAAACAGAAAACTATGTATCACTTAATTTTACAACTTATATTTTGACAATCTAACAAAAAATGATATCCGTAAAGGAATTTAGTACACATCTTTCTAGGGACAAATCTTTATGAAAACGGAAAGTAATTATCAATAACTAATTTATCCATTGTGTTATTTTTGTAAGGATCATAAAAGTACAAGACAGTAAAGGTCCCTGATCAAGACCAAAAGTATTACTTCAGGCTTTCAAGATCAAGACCAAGGCCAAGACTCTAAGTTTCAAGACAAAGACCAAGACCAGTAGAGTTGAGTATGAGTCTCAAGATCTAGATTTTAGTCTCGAGATCTACATCTCTGATATTAACACTGCATTATTGTAGTATTAATTGTTGGTACACTGGTATTATTTTGGTGGCTAAGTATCAAACTCAAATTCATTTTGAACTTAAACCTATGCTTTTATTTTGTTGCCACAGTATATGTACATTTCTATTTTTTACCAATTCGAAATAAAACCTTATATCCATGGGTTTTATCTTCATGTAACATTTTTACAACTTAATGTTTGTATAGTAGCTTAGTTTAATGAACTTTTGAATAAATTGAATAAGAGAAATAAAATAAAACGTTGTCAGTATATTTTTACGAAAAAGTTACCCGAAAAAAAAAATACATTTTGGATATGCTACATGTTTTTCGTAATATCCACGCACCAAACAACTTTTAATATCACAAATGTTCTAATCCCTGTGTACAAATGTTTACGACTGTTTATCGATTAGAATAAATCTAACTTTTAGATTTTTCTTTTTTTATTTATATATATAATATATTTATATATCAAACTTTTTATTTTCTACTTTTAATGTTCTTGTTTTTTCCCAAATAATATTTTCTTTGCAAAAGGTTTTATGATATGCTAATGCAGATTGAAACAAAAATGCAGGTAAATACGCGAATGCATCAACATCAGAAGAGCATTAACGAAAACAAACCTAATCAATCTGCATTAGCATATCATAAAACCTTTTGCAAAGAAAATATTATTTGGAAAAAAAAAGAACATTAAAAGTAGAAAATAAAAAGTTTGAAAGAAAAATTAGAGAGGCACTAGAAATACAAAACAACATGTGCTCTGCACGAAACGGCGGAATTAATCTTGATGAAGGCCAATATGTAAAAACTATGTTTTCGACGCCATTTTTAAAATTTAAAAATCAAAAGAAGCCATGCAACCGCTGATGTTAATAGTAACAATTTTATATAAACTGAAGCGATTAAAAATTATTGTAATATTTTACTAGCTGATGATGTTGGTATCCAAAACCCAGCGAAAATTTTTTACAAAATAAAATTATTAGTATTGAGAGAAACTGTATTTTTTGATGTTTTAAAATAATATATATATCTATACATATATATATATATATATATATATATATATATATATATATATATATATATATATATATATATATATATATATATATATATATATATATATATATATATATATATATATATATATGTTTGTGATTGAATTTTAGGGTTGTTTCATGAACAGAGTAGACCTGATCGAGATAATTTTATTACTATACACTGGGGTTACATTCTTCCAAGTAATATGAATTTATTTTGATTCTTTTTTTATTTTGTTACTTCTTTATTTAGAAGTTGACTAAACACAAATAACTAGAGTGAACAAAATACTTGAAGTAGACGTGAAAATAAACATAAATATTTTTAGCATAATAATTTGCAGGCATATAAATAGATTTAAAAAAAGTTCTCTCAATTTGTAATTATTGCTGTTTTACAACTTTAACAATTTTTAGCTTTTAATAGTAAAAGTTTCAAAGTACAATTTTTAAAAGTTTTTTGACCAAATTTTGTCAGAAGAGGAAAAGCATACTTACTTAATATTATTCATTTTTACCTCTCAAATTTTTATTTTATTCTTTTTAGTAAAGGAATTTTCAAATTTTAGTAACAAGTGTAGATACCATTGTGGTTCTCCAACTTATTATATATTTTAATTAGATCACGTAATAAGGTAGACCGGGGAAGTTTAGCCCTAGGGACAAGTTGGTCGAGTCAAGTTTATTCAAATACTATGTGCTTTAACGAGCTCGGAATTTAGGTGAAAGTTGGCAGTAATTCAACTTTCATCCTAAAAAATATCATATTAATTGGACCAAGTTTGGAAGTGTGCAGACTTTTAAGTATTTTCTATAGCATGTTTATGCTCACTGCGGTTGACAGTTTTCAATCGAAAAATGTTTTACCTAAAAAAATAATAAATTTTAATTTGAAACAAAAAGTGAAACTTTTAATCTTAAAAAATCAAAAACAAAAATATTAATTAAAAATAAAATGCGAAAAAAAAAGAAATTGGAAACCAATTAATAATATTTTATTATGTCAACCTTTTTCCATGAAAAATTAGAATAAAACATGATAAGCTAAAAATGTTACACATTAAAGAAAAAGAAGTGGGCAAACATACCTCCGTCTACTTTACTTCATAGTAAATACTACGGACTACATACATGCACTACGATGGTAATTAAATTTTATTTCTTAAAATATTTTTTTCATTTTAGAAAAAAAAAATTTAAAAGTTCTTCAACAAACTACAATTTTTAACTTTTTACAACCACGGTTAAACAACCACGTTAATTGTTAAAAGTTATTTTTTAAAAACACAACCAAAGGTTATTTAAAATTTAGAATTTCAAAAACATGTTTCGAGTTAATGGCATAGCTACAGTAAAAACTTGATAAGAAATAAATAAATTGAATACAAAACTTAAAACTAGACTTAAAACTAAACTTGCAGTAAAACTAATTTAAAAATTGTCATTAGTAGATTTAATTTTTTATTTAAGAAATGCGATTCAACTTTCTCAAACAAACTCAACGATCTGTAGACAGCTTGGGAACGCCTTATGATTATGAATCAGTTATGCACTATGGTCAAACTGCATTTGGTAATGGTAAAATTACTATCACAACTACTGATCCATCAAAGCAAAATGTTATTGGAAATAGAAATGGATTTAGTAAAATTGATATTCAACAAATTAATGCCATGTATAACTGCAAATAAGCTAATATATATCATTCTTCATTAGTTAAACTATATAAGCCTTTATAAAGAAAACAAAATACTTTTACTTTTGTTACTTGTAATTACACATATAAACGTAAAACTTTTACTAGAACTTTGTCATTTAAACTATGTTTCAGTGACGGATAAAAAAAAGAAAAAAAAGGAAAAAATGTTGGAATTTTTTTAGAATGATCAAACTTGTTTGATGTTTGGATTTAAAGCAAAAAGGAAACAACCTCGTTAAGAATAGATGGTTTATGACCGGTGTAAAAAAAAAAACATTTTGGTGTTTGCAACTAATTTTATGTGACTTTAAAAAATATGTTCATCTAAATTATTTGTTAACGAATTCATTTCTGACAATCAACGCAATAATGACACCCAAACCAAAAATTATAACTTACTCAAAAACTTTCTGCAAATAATCTCCAATAAAAAAAAAAAATTTTTAAATCTCTTATAAAATTTTAGCAATTGTAGTAAGGTTAATGCATGGGTGTTGCAAGTAGGTTGCTATACCGTGGGTGTTGCAAGTAAGTTGCTATAGTATGGGTGTTGCAAGTAAGGCGGTTGTCTCATTATAAAGTACAAGTTAAAGTGTTCTTAAACTTATTGAAAGAATCCTTGTGTAATATATTCTTTATTATTTACATAAATTATATTTTGGCATATTAAGACAAATTAAGGGCGGAATTTGCCAACTAAAATTCAATAAGTCCATACCCCAATCGCTAAATATATTTTTATATATTGAATAATTGTAAAAATAATTTATATAACGTAAAATGGGGCTATATAAAAAAGATAAGAGTTTTAATTAACTTTTTTCAGAAAAATATTTTTTTTAAAGAGAGCTTTATTGAATTATTTTCAAATAAAACTCTTTAGTTTTTTTAAAAAACTTTATTTGGATGAAAAAAAATGCTGAAAAAAAACAAAACGTTAAAAAATAATAATGTAGAAAAAAAAGTTAAAAAAAAATTGTTGTGAAATGAAATTTTCTTTTTCGTTTTCAAAAAATTGCTTGTTTATAACTATTTTATGGGTAAAGTATGAATATTAGTCCATAATTAAAATATGCATATTAGTCGATAATTAAAATATGCATATTAGTGGAACATTAAAATATGCATATTAGTGGATAAATAAAATATAGATAACCAGATGTTATCTTTGTAGCTGAAACGTGGTTCAATAAAACATCAGACACCTCAATCGATGGATACCATTTGCACAGAAAAGACAGAGACAGTCGAGGAGGGTGTTTGGCAATGTACATTAAATCTAATATCCCTGCTGTATTAACCAGTATAAAAATACTAAACGACTCTAGCATTGAGCAACTTTGGCGAATTATCAAGTTTGGTAATGAAAAACTCCTCCTAGGATGTATCTATCGACCTCAAGATAATAACGATGATACTCTCATGAAAATAATTTCTTCAATCAAAGCCGAAAAATGCAATCTCTTGAAATTAGGCTGTGCATCCATACTCTTATACGGTGACTTTAACTTTAGCCACACAACATATGAAGAACTTGTAGTTGATGACAATACACTAGTTGTAGCGCATATCAACAATGAATGGCCTAGTGACACTAAGTTTCAACAATGCTTAGGTGAGCATTATTTAACTAAAATGATAACATTCCCAACATATCGCAAGTCAAGAAACAATGCAATGGGTAATAATCTTGATTTTGTCATTACCGATAAATCAATCAGAGTTGGAGACCTCAAAATGTTCGTATCTTTTAATAGCTTTTTTTATTACCTCTGATATATGTTTACAAGCTATTTTATGCTTACTCCTGAGTGCTTCATGTGTTTTAGTTCCAGAAGCGACATATTGCCTCCAGAGATTACGTTTATGAAAAACTGCTTCTTTAACTTTTGGTGTGGTCCAAGGTTCTTTTTTTGTTTTGAAGGGAACAGAAGTCATTGGAATGTATTTGCACACAGCTTCCATGTATTTTTTTTCAAGTAGTTGGTAGTTAAAGTTTGCTGAATGATTAGTAAAGTTTTTGTCCCAATCGTAATTTATGACATATTCTGATATTTTTTGATAGTTCGCTTTGCTCCTTTTTGAGGTCTCTAACTCTGATTGATTTATCGGTAATGACAAAATCAAGAGTATTACCCATTGCATTGTTTCTTGAGTTGCGATATGTTGGGAATGTTATCATTTGAGTTAAATAATGCTCACCTAAGCATTGTTGAAACTTAGTGTCACTAGGCCATTCATTGTTGATATGCGCTACAACTAGTGTATTGTCATCAACTACAAGTTCTTCATATGTTGTGTGGCTAAAAAGTTCTTCATATGTTGTGATCCTATCGGAGACACATCTAAAGGTAAAGCTCACTTCCTAATCACTGGACATTTCGAAACTATGAATTTTGAAAAACAAGCTACTTTTCATTCACGTTATATTTGGAGCAAAGCGAACTATCAAAAAATATCAGAATATGTCATGGATTACGATTGGGACAAAAACTTTACTAATCATTCAGCAAACTTTAACTACCAACTACTTGAAAAAAAATACATGGAAGCTGTGTGCAAATACATTCCAGTGACTTCTGTTCCCTTCAAAACAAAAAAAGAACCTTGGACCACACCAAAAGTTAAAGAAGCAGTTTTTCATAAACGTAATCTCTGGAGGCAATATGTCGCTTCTGGAACTAAAACACATGAAGCACTCAGGAGTAAGCATAAAATAGCTTGTAAACATGTATCAGAGGTAATAAAAAAAGCTATTAAAAGATACGAACATAAGTTAGCTAGTGTTTTAAAAAATGACCCAAAGAAACTTTATGATCACATCAAAATTAAAGAAGAAACTAATAACTTACTTCAAGCTCTCGAAGATGACAATAAAAACATTATAACCGACGGTGCAGTTATTTCAGATATTCTAAATAACTACTTTCATTCTGTATTCACTACTGAAAAACCAGATTCGCTGCCAGAGTTCGGATCACGTACAAATGTATCTTGCACTATAGACTTAAATTTCAAATCGGCGAATTTAGTTCAAGAAAGACTAAAAAAGCTCATTGAAACTAAGTCAAAAGGACATGACGACATACACCCACGAGTATTACGCAACTGCGCGTCAGCATTTGCAATTCCATTCACTACGATCTACCGAAAATCAATTTACAATTCACAGGTTCCAGAGGTTTGGAAAAGATCAAATGCCACCCCAATTTTTAATCAAGGCAGCAAGCAAAACCGAGCTAATTATAGACCAGTCTCACTAACATTGGTACCCTGAAAAATTATAGAAAGTATTATACACAAAAAAATCATAAATCCTGTCTTAGCACTAACCTAATACCCAAAGAACAGCACGGATTTTTTCAAAGTAAAGGATGCACAGCAATGCATCAAGGCTGCGCCACTGATATCATCTTCACTGACTTTGCGAAAGCTTTTGATAAAGTTCCACATGTCAGACTCTTACACAAACTTAAAGCCTATGGTTTAAACGACATTTTAGACTGGATAGCAAACTGGTTAACGAATATTTAATAACGGGTTGTAATCGGCAAGCATAAATCTAAATGGAAATATGTAACAAGCGGGGTACCCCAGGGCTCTGTGCTCGGTCCACTTCTTTTTATCTTATATATAAACGATCTGCCGGACTATATCACTCATCGCATAAAGATTTTTGCCGACGATTGCAAAATAATCGCAGTTCTAAAATCTGAGGAGGATAAAAGAACATTGCAAACTGCCATAAATAATCTTGTAGATTGGTCGCACAAATGGAATATGCCTCTCAACTTCGATAAGTGTAAAGTTATGCACGTTGGGCGTGGTTACTCTAATTCTACTCAAACTTATTCGATGCTTGATTTGGGTGGAAACAGAATTCAACTAGACGTCACTAAACACATATGATCTGAGAGTACTTCTATCAGACGATCTTAAAGTAAGCTATCAAGTCGAATCAGCAGCAGCAAGAGCCAACAGTAAACTTGATAGACTTAAAAAATTTTTTAGAAGTCGTGGACTCTTTTTGTGGAAAGTACTCTACAAAACATATACAAGACTCCAGTTAGAATTTGCTATCCAGGCTTGGTCATCACACAATGAAAAAGACATTGCTATTTCAGAACGAGTACAGCATAAAGCCGCTAAAACAATATCGGAAATAAAGCATTTGCCATATGAAGAAAGACTCTTTCATCTCGGCTTAACTACTCTTAAAGAAAGGAGAGTTCAAGGTGATCTGATTCAACAGTTTAAAATTTCAAAAGGTATTGATTAAATTATTTTTGATAATCCTCAAGTCTACGCACCATCGATTTACAAATATAATTTACGTGGACATTATCTTCGACTCGAACACCAAAGGGTAAAAAACTGTCAAGAGAGATTTAATTTCTTCACTAATCGCATCGTGAATGTTTGGAATACGCTACCTTTAAACGCCATAAGAGCTAAATCAGTCAACTCGTTTAAGGTTAGTGTTCATAAATTAAAATTCGTAATAGACGAATGATTGGACACACGAGTGCCTTCTTTCAGCATGGAAGTGCCTGGTGTAGCACTTCCTCATCAAAATATATAAATGTATTATATAATTGATTTCTGAAATAAATAAACTCAAACTCAAACTCATTAGTAGAAAATTAAAATATGCATATTAGTGGGTAATTAAAATATGCATGTTAGTGGATCATTAAAATATGCATATTAGTGGATAGTTTAAAGAAAAATTAACGAATAAGTTTCTGAAGTTGGAGTTGAGTTGTCACTTGTGACAATTTTGTGACAATGCGCGACAACTTTTAGTGCAATAAAACCTTTTGTCTTTTATAGATTGCTTTCGTATGCATTGTTATATCTAAATCTTGCATTTTAAATTTTTACATTTGTAACATTCACTTTTTTTACTTGCTGCAGCTATGCAACAATTGTTGCAAATGAGCTAATTGTAAATTTTGAACTTTCTTGATAAGCAAATTAATACGTTATTGTTTTCGATGCAAATGAGTTAAAAGATGTCACATGTTCATCTATGACTAAAACATAAATACCAATAATTGGATAACTATAAGTCATTGGATAGCTAAAATATAAATTTTAAAAAGTTTTATTCACAAAGTTAACAATTAGTCACCGTTTCCGTTTTTAACTCATAACTTTTTAAGAGAAGCAGTAAACTAAAGATTCTTGACCGGCGTTAAAAGTTATACAACGATAAGTTTTAAACTTATTTAATCTCTAATTTTCTACATAAAAAATTATAATCCATTATATTACCCAGCCGGCATTTGGTTCTAAAAAGACGTTTTATGAACGTTTAAAAAAGTTCTGAACGTCTTTTGAACGTTCAAAAGACGTTTTTTTAGGACCAAATGCCTGCTAGGTAGAGTCAATAAATAATAAAAGGTGTTTCGATTCAGTTTTGAATTGTTCAAGTATTTCTTTTTTATTGTTAACAACGTGTGAAAATACTTCAAAACAATGTTTTTGTACCCTGTAAGTGAAGAATCAAGAGATAGTTTTTAAATTTATTAGAGAAGCATAAACTCAATTTAAAACAAACATGGTCAATTTTAAGTAAAATTACAGACAATCGTAAATTAAAATCTTTGACTACGTAAATCAAAATCTTAAGTACCTATCTTAAGTAGCTAGGTTAAGTACTTTAGTACTATACTTTAGTACTTAACGTAAAGCTATAAAAATCTTAAGTAGCTAGGTTAAGTACTTTAGTACTATACTTTAGTACTTAACGTAAAGCTATAAAAATCTTAAGTAGCTAGGTTAAGTACTTTAGTGCTATACTTTAGTACTTAACGTAAAGCTATAAAAATCTTAAGTAGCTAGGTTAAGTACTTTAGTACTATACTTTAGTACTTAACGTAAAGCTATAAAAATCTTAAGTAGCTAGGTTAAGTACTTTAGTACTATACTTTAGTACTTAACGTAAAGCTATAAAAATCTTAAGTAGCTAGATTAAGTACTTTAGTACTATACTTTAGTACTTAACGTAAAGCTATAAAAATCTTAAGTAGCTAGGTTAAGTACTTTAGTACTATACTTTAGTACTTAACGTAAAGCTATAAAAATTAGAGGTGAAAGTGTAAATAATCAAAAAAAAAAAATTCTAGGAACTAAAAGTACTCTTTTTCATCACGTGCAAAACAATTTGTTACTATAAACAATATTTGTTACTATAAACAATATTTATTACTATAAACAATATTTGTTACTATAAACAATATTTGTTACTATAAACAATATTTGTTACTATAAACAATATTTGTTACTATAAACAATATTTGTTACTATAAACAATATTTGTTACTATAAACAATATTTGTTACTATAAACAATATTTGTTACTATAAACAATATTTGTTACTATAAACAATATTTGTTACTATAAACAATATTTGTTACTATAAACAATATTTGTTACTATAAACAATATTTGTTACTATAAACAATATTTGTTACTACAAACAATATTTGTTACTATAAACAATATTTGTTACTATAAACAATATTTGTTACTATAAACAATATTTGTTACTATAAACAATATTTGTTACTATAAACGATATTTGTTACTACAAACAATATTTGTTACTACAAACAATATTTGTTACTATAAACAATATTTGTTACTACAAACAATATTTGTTACTACAAACAATATTTGTTACTATAAACAATATTTGTTACTACAAACAATATTTGTTACTATAAACAATATTTGTTACTATAAACAATATTTGTTACTACAAACAATATTTGTTACTATAAACAATATTTGTTACTACAAACAATATTTGTTACTATAAACAATATTTGTTACTATAAACAATATTTGTTACTATAAACAATATTTGTTACTATAAACAATATTTGTTACTACAAACAATATTTGTTACTATAAACAATATTTGTTACTATAAACAATATTTGTTACTATAAACAATATTTGTTACTATAAACAATATTTGTTACTATAAACAATATTTGTTACTACAAACAATATTTGTTACTACAAACAATATTTGTTACTATAAACAATATTTGTTACTACAAACAATATTTGTTACTATAAACAATATTTGTTACTACAAACAATATTTGTTACTACAAACAATATTTGTTACTATAAACAATATTTGTTACTACAAACAATATTTGTTACTATAAACAATATTTGTTACTATAAACAATATTTGTTACTATAAACAATATTTGTTACTATAAACAATATTTGTTACTATAAACAATATTTGTTACTATAAACAATATTTGTTACTATAAACAATATTTGTTACTATAAACAATATTTGTTACTATAAACAATATTTGTTACTATAAACAATATTTGTTACTATAAACAATATTTGTTACTATAAACAATATTTGTTACTATAAACAATATTTGTTACTATAAACAATATTTGTTACTATAAACAATATTTGTTACTACAAACAATATTTGTTACTACAAACAATATTTGTTACTATAAACAATATTTGTTACTACAAACAATATTTGTTACTATAAACAATATTTGTTACTACAAACAATATTTGTTACTACAAACAATATTTGTTACTATAAACAATATTTGTTACTACAAACAATATTTGTTACTATAAACAATATTTGTTACTACAAACAATATTTGTTACTACAAACAATATTTGTTACTATAAACAATATTTGTTACTACAAACAATATTTGTTACTATAAACAATATTTGCTACTATAAACAATATTTGTTACTATAAACAATATTTGTTACTATAAACAATATTTGTTACTATAAACAATATTTGTTACTATAAACAATGTTTGTTACTATAAACAATATTTGTTACTATAAACAATATTTGTTACTACCCAGTAAGCACAAGACGCATTTTAGACACTTATAGACGTCTAAAACTAGTCTAGGTAAAGACGCACTTTTATAGACGTTTTAAAGATATCTTTTAGACGTCTTTTATAAAGGCGTTTTTAAAATGACGTTTAAAAGGCGTCTATTTAAGCGTTAAAAAAACGTCTAGAAGATATCTTTTTTTAAGACATCTTTTAGACGTCTTTAATAAATGCGACTTAACATGACGTTTAAAATGAGTTTTTTTAAAGTTTAAAAATACGTTTAAAAGACGCGTAATAAATAGTCTAAAATACGCATTAAAAGACGTCTAGATCAAAGCTAAAAGACGTCTTTTCTGAGACCTGTTTATAAATATGTCTACTTTTTGACGGCTTTGTCATTACGCGTTAAGTAGATGTCGTAAATTCAAAGTAAAAACATAGTTTTTATTATTTTCAATAATTTGTTCAAGTTTTAAGTGTAAATTACTTTAAATTAAATTACTTTTTTACACAATTTCTAAAATTGTTGTCACAGGAATTACTAAAATAATTGCTATAATAATAATATATCTTTTTTTTATTAATAATTATTTTGCTTTTTTAATAGATAGTTGACTGATCATGATAATAAGTGAAAATGGCAAGAATAATATATAAGTTAAATATCAGTACTTTTAGTTTTTATACACCCACAAGCCATATAATAAGTCAAGTATGCGGTCAAAAATTAGCTAGCAATACGTATTTAAAATTTTATTATAACTAAAAGTAAGTTATAAATGTTTTAAATACTGTTTTGATATATAATTGTTATTTAATAATTTCATCTTTGATGCATCAACCGTTGGTGGTGATTACGGCAATATTATTTTGATTGCTGGTTCCTATGTATATTTGTATATACGAAATTATAACAATATATGATGTTATAAATACAATGAATATATACCACAAACTACGCGAAAATGTTACGTCATGAACTTAAATTTATCTTGAAAAAAACGTCTAACATACGTCTAAAACGCGTTTTTATAAAGACGTCTTCATTTAGACGTCTTTTAGCCTTATGATCTAGACGTCTACAAGTGCGCCTTTTAGACCTCCTTAAAGACATCTTTAAAACGTCTTTTAAACGTCTTTGTGCTTACTGGGTATAAACAATATTAATTACTATTCCAACTAGCAAGAGCGTTATTGAGAATAGTGTTTCTAAAATAATTTTACTTTTTATTTACCTAATCTTCTCTTTTAGTTATCCTTTGTCATCTGATACCTTTTCCTTTGTCATCTGATACCTTTTATACTAACACAGAGTTGGCAAATTTACCGAGATTCTCACCTGGTACCAACATGATCAACACATTTAGATTTTATGCGTTCTAAATTTTCATAATATGGCTTTTTTTTT